AAGCATGTCAACATATTCTGTTACACCAAATACACAAAATAATGGATCTTTAAAAAAGCATCATATGACCCCTTTAAGGTCACACAAAATATCATCATATAGTTTGTATGTTGTTGTTGATTTAATGCAAAAGTCAGTCAAAGTGATTTCGTGCCTCTTTGGAATGGCACAATAATGCGCCGTTCACTTGCAGAATGCAAGCTTCTAGAGTGCACATAAGTCTGAAGTAATGAATTTAGGTAAAGGGGTGCAGAGCCAGTGGTGGATTTGTAGGCAAACGTTAATGCCTTGAATTTTATGCGTGCAGCTATGGGTAGCCAGTGCAAATTGATAAACAGAGGTGTGACGTGCATTTTTGTCGGCTCATTAAAAATGTATCTTGCAGCCGTGTTCTGGATTATACATCATGTCATACATACATCATGTACATGCAGTGATAAGACACTCCTGAAGGGTTTCTAATATATATATATTTTTTTACAATCTGATGGATTGAACCCAGAATATTCCTTTAACCTACTGGACTGATTATTTAACTACTGATTACTAAACAAACTAGACTTTGAAACAATGCTTTTTGTACTATAAAATCTTCATATTGGGTGTGACAGACAGGTCACAGTAATCTGTAGTTTGCACTGATTATTAAGAAATAAGTCTTTCTCTTTGCTGATTGTTCTTCTCTAAGAAAGTAAAGAGCAGCAATGTCTATAGTGTTGAAGACTGACAAGAAAAACTTGTGCAAGAGTCTTGTAGGTTGATAGAGAAATAGACTGAATGCAGTGAACACAGAGAACGCATTAGGGATGCAGTGCTACAAAACAGACCTTTTGAAACTCCAGGAGACGATCAGTCGGTAATAGAGTGATGCCATGCGCCACTGCTCAGGGGACATGAGAGGACAAATCTAAGGATGAAGGGAAATTGAAAAACAGGAGCGGAAAACCGATAAAGAATGCAGTGTGTGTGTGTGTGTTTGCAGAAAGGGCATAAGGATCTCTTGAGCGGCTCTCATTACCTAACTGGTTTATTACCTGGAGACTGCCAATAAAACTGGCATAGATTAGCTGCTGAAGTGATAATGCAAACAATTAATTATACAAAAAAACTGAATACTTTGTCCTTGTTCTGGCCTTATAGCCAAGATTGAACACTTGGATTCAACTTATTTGACATCGTCCCAAGTTACTGTAACCGTTATATGCTACGCAAGTCTTATTTTATGCCACGCAAGTCTACAGTGTGCGCGTGAGACAATGTGTTCTTCTGTTGTCTTTGACAGCTTTTAGGTGCGTTATTGGCAGCGCCACCCTCTTCTTACATGAACGCATCACCACCGCATCAGCACGGAAAACATGGGTAATTTTTTTAAGACAATAATCGCACAACCTATTTGATATTCTATAATTAAATCAACTAATCGAATATTTGAAAATCGTGACCCATCCCTAATTGATAGCCCCAAAAATTGTTTTGCCTATGTCACGATAAGAGGTAAATCCGGCCCTGGCGAGGAACACAAATAATAATAATAATAATAATAATAATTATTAATTTTATTTAATGGCGCCTTTCTAAACACCCAAGGTCACCTTACAGCAAGCAAACTAGTAAAAACAGTAACAATAAATAAACAAGTCCTGCCAGCATTAAAAAATTCAACAGCACAACTGCATACATCATAAATACAATAAAGGCTTATAAGAGCAATTAATAAGAGCAAGTCATAAGAAAGCCTGGGTAAAAAGATAAGTCTTAAGACGAGATTTAAAAGTATGAAGGTTGTCACTGTTCCATATATTGGAGGGAAGAGAGTTCAAGAGAGTGAAGATCTGAGAGTGCGAGAAGGAGTATAGATGTGGAGAAGGTCAGTAAGATACAAGGTTGTAAAGTGCCTTAAATAAGCAAAATTTTAAAATCAATGCAATACTTTACTGGGAGCCAGTGTAAATGTTGGAGAACTGGAGAAATGTGCTCTATTGATGGAAGTCCTAGAAAGAACACGAGCTGCTGAGTCCTGAACCAATTGGAGTTTATAGAGAAGTTTAGAAGGGAGACCAGTAAGGAGAGCATTACAATAGTCGATACGTGAAGTAACCAGTGCATGAATAAGAATTGCAGTATTATTCGTTGTGAGAGAGGGACGAAGGCGATTAATATTAATCAGGTGAAAATACGCAGTACGCCTAATATTATTGACATGAGCTTCAAAAGAAAGTGTGCTATCCAGAATGACACCCAAACTCCTAAAAAAAAAAATTGCGTTATTATCGATATCCACTGTAAAACAATGAGATTTAGTCAAAGTAGATTTTGTACCAATAAGTAAGACATCACTTTTATCACTGTTGAGTTTTAGAAAGTTGGCTGAAAGCCAGTCTTTAATTTCAGTTAAACATCTAGTCAAGGAAGGTGGAGGAAAAGAACTAGAGGGTTTAGAAGACAGGTAGAGCTGGGTGTCGTCGGCATAGCAGTGAAAATGGATACCATATTTCCTGAGAATATAGCCAAGAGGAAGTAAATAGATGATGAATAAGAGTGGGCCCAAAACAGAACCCTGAGGGACACCAGTAGTAACTGTAGATGGTCTTGATTTAAATTTTTTAATTTGAATATGCTGAGTGCGACTGGTAAGATAGGACCTAAACCAGGACAGTGGGGTGCCAGTAATCCCTATAGAAACTAACCTGTCCAGGAGTATCTTGTGCGAGATCGTATCAAAGGCCGTACTCAGGTCAAGAAGGACAAGTATTGTTAATAAACCAGAATCAGCTGCCAATAACAAATCATTAGTAATTTTGACAAGAACTGTATCTGTACTATGATGAGGACGAAAACCAGATTGGAATTGCTCAAACAATGTATTATTGGAGAGATGATTGTGAACTTGAGCTGCAACACATTTTTCCAAGATTTTAGAATTGAATGGCAAATTAGAAATTGGTCGATCATTTTCAAAAATTGATGGATCAGTCCCTGATTTCTTTAGAATAGGGGTAATAATAGCAGTTTTAAGAGAAGAAGGTACAGAACCAGAAACAAGTGAAGAGTGAATAATTTTAGTAATTAATGAGGACAGAGATGGTAGACAAGCTTTATCTAAGCAAGTAGGCAGTGGGTCAAGCTGACAATTGGTAGTTTTAGATTTCCAAATATAACACAATATCTCCACAGCAGTTGGTAAAATACAAGTAGTAAGATTAGAATGCACACCTTTCTTCAACACGGAAGTAAGCCTATGGGTGAGACTTCCGGTTCATTAGCCGCTATAGATAAATAACGAGAAGAATAAGAACGTGCAGTAAACGGTAAAACTGTTTGCACTACAAACCAGTGTGTTCATAAGTAAGATAATACATTAACATAATATGGTAAGACACACCAATTTTCAATATCAAGCAGCAAAACAAACTGTTTTGTACAGCTAAAAATAGCTGGACGCGGATGAGACCGGAAGCTAAACCCATAGACTTTACAATTTTTACGGCAAGAAAAAGGTGGCTAGCCAGATGATA